GGTGTCGTCAGGTCTTGTCCAGACAAAGGTACAGCCAGGTCTACAGTCAGCAGTACAGGTGATGTCCGGTAACATGTTCCCCTCAGTCCTGGTGTAGGTAGTGTCCGGTGGGGACAGGGTAACAGTACCAGGGCCGTCTGTTATACAAACATATTAATTATTCATTTGGAAAGATTAATGTGAACTTTCTATTCATTGGAGATACAGCAGGGGTAAAGCAGATAACTGACTTCCCATCAACCCATTTAAAGGATGCATTTTCCACCTCAGGCAGAATACGAAATAATTCTACTTCATGTTTTCGTACATACAGTAACATTTCCTAAAATTTGTTACGGATTTTACCTTTTTACACGACATGGATGAATAATGCCTATGTATTAGTTGCAGTTATAAAAGATGATGGGTGGAGATTTGGGGACAGTTCAAGATTTAAAAAACAACTTTTCATGCTTTGAATTAAAAAAAAAGTATCCATTATTTAAAAAAAAATAAATAAAATGTTAAAAGTAATCTTGTCGTATTTGTTGTTCAGAAAGTAACCTTTTATTCAACCATGGACGGTAATGTTGAACAGAATTTTGTGGATCGTCATCATAATTTGTTTTTTTACATATTTAGTACATTTTCTAGGAATAATCCGGCTCAAATGTTGCCATAAGCTCCGCGTAATACCTAGATGTGCTTAAATGTATGTATTTTAATCAATGAAGAGTAATTCAGGGAACCAAAAAAAAAACCGTTCAAAGTATCAAATTCACATTTTCTTAAATATGGATTCGTCGAAAGCTGTTCAATTTAAAACAGAACGTCAAAGAGCAATCAGAAAAGTTTTAGTCGTAAAAGGAACCGTCGTAGAAATTGTCTGAACTACATGTAGAGAGAGCTAACAATGTAAACACATAGATACCGACTTGCATGGCGGCCGATGACCAGTTGAATTATTTTAGCATGAATTAATTAACTGGCATGAATTACAACTCTTAACTATGTTTGTTCCTCAAACAGAACCAATTTGTGACTGTTGCACCCCCTACATTGATTTTCAGGATACCTAGGACAATATGTACCTTTCATGCATTATATTTAGAAATACACAAAACAAAACAAACATGTTCTTCTGTTGTTAAATGGCGCCTTTAATACTCTTTCCGGTGGTCTAATATAGCAATTGCCCCAGTGTAGTGTCATTTTCTTGCAAATTATGTTTTTACTCATTATTTGTCATAATTTCTTTTACACGAAAAAATATCTTAAGTTATCCATCTTTCTTGCATAAAAATCGTGTAAAGGTGTTTTACCGTCAGACGATCATAGAAAGAGTATTGTACATTATTTTTTAATATTATTTCGACCATAATTTAGTATGGGACATTATAAGAGATGATAATACGATTTTGAATAAAATAGGAATGTGACTCATTTGGAATTACTTAAGTTGGATCTAAAAATGGCTGCTTCAGTGCTTGGTCATGAAATTTGCATTCTTTTATTTCTGAACGTTTTCTTCAGGTTGCATGGTAAACTACACTTGTATGGATTCTAGAAGGGTCACGTCGTACAATCAATTAGGTGTTTATGTGTGAAATATTGATTACTAGCACGATATGTACGCTATCACCTTTATTGGACAAATGACAAGTGAAACATATATGTATATAACCAAATGTGCAAAATATGCACAAGTTGACAATTACAATCGCCGGCCATTAGGCTACGATATACGTGCGTTTACACTTGTTTTACAGTAAGATGACTCAAACCAACACATTCATTTACTTAGGCTTTTTTCACACAGACATTTAAAAAATTAATATATTCGACTTACTAAAATCATTGAGTCAATCGAAGTCAAACATTTTACTGGTATTTAAAATTATTTCCCAATCATGTGTTGTTTCTCAAGTCTATCTGAAATCGAAGAAGGTTGCCCTACCTAAGACTTGCTGCCAATTATTCATTTTGTAATTGCCCGTTACCGCCATTTTGAACTCAAACCAAATATGTGTTGAACTATTGGTGTTCACATTTGTGAAGTGACGTTGCATAATCCATTCCAACTATTGATTTTGTGTTGATCAAATCAATCATACAAGGTTAGTACGGTCACATATATAAGAGTCTTAAACAACCATTACACCTAAAGGTAAAAAAGAATCAGGAAAATGGGATTAATGGCTAGTAATGCTATTTAAATAAATAGCCTCGACCGTCTTTCAAGGTCACAAAGGTAAAATATGTTAAGGTAGCAGTGTACAGTAGCGTAATGTGGTCATGGGTGATATTTTTGTACAATGAATTACCCCTGTAATATTACATGTATCAAAATAAAATAAAAAATAAAAATTCAGCACTTAAATTGGCATAAACTGATGAAGTGGACTATGTGGGCTTCATAATTTTTCAAAACAAGAGACCCAATGGACCTGCATCGCTCACCTGGTATTAATTTCACACTTGTTATCTTAAAAGTGGACTAAAATACAGCTTCAGGCAAAATATCAGTGTTTCATTCATAAGAACTTATTAAATTTTTTAAATATATGACACCTGTGACCTTGAATGTCGAACAAGGACATTCTAATATTAGGTTGAACAGAATTTATAGTCTTCCAACCCAGCATGCTTCTGGAAAAATATCATTACCCTGGACCTTTTGGTTATTAAGAAGAAGTCATTCAATGGTTTTAAACATATTTGACCCCTGTGACCATTCATTTGAACTCGGTAAGTCATTCATCCCAGCATGTTCCTGGGATTATCCTAGGCCTCTTGGTTCTTCCGAAGAAGTTGTTTAAAGGTTTAGAACATATTTGACCCTGTGACCTTGAAAAAAAATGAAGGTCATTCATTTGACCAAACTTTATAGCCCTTCATCCAAGCATGCTACTAGCCAAATATCATCACCCTAGGCATATTGGTTATTCAGAAGAAGTTGTTTAAATGCAAAAAATCATATTTGCCCTATGTGACCTTGAATATAAGTCAAGGTCATTTATTTGAACAAAATTGGTAGCCCTTCATCCCAGCATATTAATGCCCACATATCATCACCCTAGGCCTCTCGGTAATTCAGAAACAGTTGTTTAAAGGTTTTAAACATATTTGACCCCTGTGACCTTGACAGTGGGTCAAGGTAATTTATTTGAACAAACTTGGTAGCCGTTTATCCAGGCGTGTTACTGGCAAAATTTCATCACCCTAGGGCCAGGTGAGCTAAACACAAATTAAAATTTGGTTTGAGACTACAGTTTTGGGCATTTACAAATCTGTACCTACACAACAAAAGCTAGCTTTTCATGTAATCAATTTTTGTACTTGGCAAATGTGTAAATCTATGCTAAAACGTGAGTATTTCTGTTACCGAGTAGGTGATATTTAATTTAAGACAGGTTTAAAGAAAAAAATAACTACTTGCATGGGTCAAATTTTGGGTTAAAAATCCCTTTTTTTATGTGGTAACCATAGTTTTCACAAGTCCAAAATCTGTGAAAACACTTTTTGAAAAAAGAAAAAAAAACTTCTCAAATAAATATACGGTATTCAAAATGTAGTTTATCAATATATATATTTATATATGTATGTAGGTGTGTTATGCCCTTGATATTTAGGATCAGGCCATTTCTACTGTACTCTGCAACTTATACACATAGAAATTGATTTTTTCTGAAAAAAAATGCCTTTTTAAGCTTGATTCAGCTTCACTTTCATTCATTTTTGCTTAAAACTACAAAAAAACGTTTAAAAAGTAACAGATATAGGTCAATATATAGGTCAATAGTATGTTACCTGTGGGATGTATAAAGGGGTAACTCGCCCTTTTCACAGGCACTTCACAATTCATCACATATGTATCAATTGTGTAATTGGTCAATTTGATACCAAACAACAAATAGTTCACAGGCTATCTCCTGATGCATTCAGACTAGATTTTATTCTGTTTCACTCAGTTAAGCACCCGGTATCCATGGTTACTAATACATAAAGTTGTATTTATTGAAAATGGGTAAAATATTTGTTTTCATTCTAATTACAGTATTTTATTTGTTTGTTTCCACTTGATTCAGCATACAGATTAAATTAGCAAAGTCAATAATGACAATAAATGAAATTTTCATAAATACAGCTGAAGAAAATCTTTCTTTTTTCTAGCGAAATATGTTAAATGAACAATTTCTGAGGGTCACTGTCAATACTAGGCGAGGACAGTAAATAAACGGTTGGTATGGAGGTACTAGTCTGATGTTTCAGAATATCTGACATTTTGGTGCTGTTCATCGGTTACGGGAAGTGTGTCTGTTGCTAGTTTGTTGTTGTGATGGGTTTCCTAATGTCCATTTTGATATCAGTGAGCCTTGACTTTGAAAAAAAAAAACATTCTTCTAAAATAAATATATTCAAAACATATATATATATATATATATATGTAGGTGTGTTGTGCAGGATGAATCTACTATCCATGTTTATCTGAGACATGCCCTTTATTTTTAGGATCATGCCATTTCTACTGTACTATGCTACCTAAAAAACATACAATACATTTCAAGTGTGCCATCAGACATTTATGAATAGTTACTTTTCTACTGAGCTTGGACTCAATATACCTACCTAACATTTCAAAGGTTATTTTCCAATTAATGACAATTGATGACATCATAAGCTTCTGTACCATCTGTGTGTACGTATACATCTATTGAATTTATCGTTTAAATGTATTCGCTGACCTACGTTTTTAAGGCTGTCGCGGTTGATACAAAATATGGAACTTTTAAAAAAAATGTTATTTGTTACATGATATAGAGATTAAAATTGGGAAACACCCTCTATAGCATTCATGTTTACCTATTGTCTTCATTGTGGAGTCATTTACAAAATAGTTTCAGCACGTTTGTTTGTTTGTTTGAGTGTTTGTTTGTTTGAGTGTTTTACGTCCGCTTCATAGATCGGTTATCCAGCAGACAAAACACATTAAGACAACTCATATCTGTATATATACGTACAATTTACTGTAACAGTGACGTCACTAGATGTCCGACTCCCGTATGCGTTACTGGCCGTACACCTGTACAAGCCCGTCTGACCAGGTGTTATGTTGGTGAGCTGGAGATCTGACCCTGTTGTGTGGGGCTGTCCATCCTTTGTCCAGCTGTAGGTACAGACTGGATTACAGTCAGACGAACACGTGACGGTAGGGAGAGTCTGTCCCTCTATAGGAGTGTAGGATGTAGTTGGTGGTGACAACCCCACACTGGAAGGACCGTCTAAATTAACAAATAATCAATAAACATATACCGTACTAGAAATTTGATTTTGTTGTCCTGTTTATTCTTTCTTGTGGAATATTGTTAAATCTCATTCTACATGGCAATTTTTATACATACAAATTCATCTTTCTACCTCATACATATTTTGCTGTAAATCTGAATCAAACAAACTCTATTTCTTCTAGACATTTGAAAACTTAAACTGAACTATTTGAACTATTCTGTAGCAATATATATTATTTTGAAAATGCAAAAGAACATTATTTCTTATTTATACTTCTTACTGTGTAGTTCTTGCAGCATTTTTTTTTTCAAACGTACATCAATTTAATGACGTCAAATTTTTAACAATAATCGAACAAAAACGTAGCAACAACGCCAGTCAGTAATTCAACGTTATAAACCACGTTTGAAAATTTGCAACTTTAAAGTAATGTTACAATAATATTCGATATTTTTACATTATTTCAAGGTTACTCAACAATAATAAAGCGTTTAAAATATTTCAACGTTCTCCAAAAATACCTAACCTGGGCAGGATGTGAATGTTTATACGACGCTCAATTATATAATTTGAAACATTATTACGTTATACTAAATGCAAAATTTTTCGTGATATGTTAAGTTAATCCTTTCGCTGCCACAGTCAAAACCTTTATTTTCCGTCAGGCCAATATTTCAGTATGGCTTTCAAAAGCCTTGTTTTGTTGCCCAACCCCACTGCCCTTGGGGCCACCTACCGTTTATACATAATTGAAGGGGTGTGTGGGTGTGGGTGTGTGTGGGTGTGTGTGTGTGTGGGGGGGGGGGGGGGGGGGGGGGCACATCCACTGTTAATCAAAATTGAGTCCCCTAGGCCTAAGAAGGCTTCAAACTAAATTAGAATAAAATCCTTTCATCTCTACTCTAGAAGAAGGATTTTAAAGGTTTTACCTCTATTTTCCCTATTGGGCCCCTCTCCTCTGCCCCTACTGGGTCCACACCCACGTTTTATACAAAACTGAAATAGTTATTGAAGTAATGGACCGTAGAAGGCCACTCCCACATATATAATCAGTTGTTGAGTTTTATATGATAAATGTTTTATGTTCGGTTGAACATAGTGAATTAGAACATTAGGATAAAAACTCTTGATCCCTACGCTAGAAGAGGGATTTTAAACTTTTACTTCTATTTCCCCCATAAGACCCATATCTTCTGCCCCCAGGGGGTCACACCCACTGGTAATACGAAAGTGAGTGCCCTTGGCCAAAGGATGTTTCAGTCTCAATTAGGATGAAATCCCTTAATCCCTACGCTAGAAGAAGGATTTTAAAGATTTTACCTCCATTCCCCTATTTGGCCCCCCTCCTCTAACCCGTGTGGGACCACAACCACCGTTTTACAAAATTGAGACCCCTTGGCCCAAAGATGTTTTAGACTAAATAAGGATACAATCCCCTCATCCCTATGCTAGAAGAAGGATTTCAAAGGTTTTATTTCATTTTCCCCATTTGACCCACCCATCTACCCCCAGGGGGGCCCACCCACCATTTATACAAAATTGAATCACATTGGCATAAGGATGCTCCAGACCTAATTGGGATGAAATCCATTAATACCTATGGTAGACTAAACATTTTATAGTTTTACCTATATTTCTCATATTGGGCCCCGCTCCTCT